CTATTGTTCTGAGTGGGGCCTGAGAATCATCTTATTTAATAAGAGCCTCAGGTGATTTGGGAAATGCTGCCTTATAATCAGTAAATTTTGGAAATTCTGCCTTACACTGTGTCTGTTGAAAATTAATAGCCAACTTCAGTACCTGAAGACATTTTCTTGCTTACTCCCACCTTCTGTATTGCCAAAGGGAGTTAGTTATATCATTGGCAAGTGAGAGTAACACCACCTGGCTGTTGTATAATTTTGAAGTGAGTTATTCATTAGAATTTAGGAGAAAGGTAGAATCATGTGTTTAAAAGACACTTAAATCAGTCAAGTTTTGTTTTTGTTTTTTCTGCTTTAATTTAAAAAAATTAATTTACCTTTCATGTTCTTCAATAGTTCATACTAACCTAGCTGTCAGCACTTGTCTATCATTATTTCCTTAGTGTCTATTTTCTGTCCTCCCCTATTAACCCACACCTATTCACATACTCTGGTAGCATAGTACCTAAGGTACCTGACTACTAACCAGAAGGCTGGCAGTTCAAACCCACCAGCCACTCCTCGGAAGGAAGGTTGGGCAATCTACTTCCGTAGTGATACCGCCTTGGAAACCCAAGGAGGGGTCACTATGAGTTGGGGCCGACTCGACAGCACATAACAACAACAATATTCACACACTACTCTGCCAAGAAGCACATATTGTATTCTGGGTCCGTGGGGATAAGAACAGGTTTAATTCATCTCAATGTACCCATCCAAGCACAGTATCAGGCAAATAATGGACACTAAATAGATATTGGATTGATGAATGGATAGATGGACAAACGCCAACTCTTTCCATGCCTATAATAATTGAATGGAATTAAATTGTACACATCTCAGAAGTGAAGTGTCAAAATGCTGACTTTTGGGAAACAGAACAAAGGTTAGTATTAAAACCAGTTGCCATCTAGTCAATGCCAAGTCAAAGCCACTCCATGTGTGTCAGAGTAGAACTGTGTTCCACAGGGTTTTCTAGGGCTAATTGCTTGGAAGTAAATCACCAGGCCTTTCTTCTTACATGACTCTGGATGGACTTGAACTTCTAACCTTCCATTTAGTAGCCTGAACTACTCAGAGACTCTAGGTCTCAATTTTATCTATAAACTAGAAATAACATTTACCTCATTGGGTTCTATGAGATAATGTGTGAGTTATTTAGCACATTCTTGGCACTTTGCTGCTCTTAATTGATCCCTTATTATTATTGGTGTAGAAGACTTCAGTAAAAAATATTTCCATTACACATCCCACCAATTAGAGACTCATTTTAATGAGTAAGCTCCAGGGAAGTCTAAGTGATGGCACCTTAGTGGGAATTACTTTAATTAGCTAATCAGATGTTTTCTTCTTGGCACTTAACTGAGATCAGGGAGAGAATGGGAATTTTGATGGCAGAAACTTGGAGACAGGCAAAGAGGAGAGGGGACTTGGAAGCCAGAGGATAGATTGTGTGCTTTAGGACCCTGGAGGCTAAAGAAGGCAGGTCCCAAAGAAACCTGTCAAATGTGAACTCTTACACAGCACCTGAGGCAGCTCTTATCACTGCCTTTTGCAGTTTTTTTTTTTTTGTTTGTTTGTTTGTTTTTTTAAACTGTGGGACAGAGGCAATCAAAAAAAAAAAAAAAAAAGTACCTCATTCCTTATGTGGAGATGAAGCCAACTGCCACAATAAAATCTTTGGTGAGCGTGTGGTTTTCTCCCTTCTTCTTTTTCTCCGCACTTATATCCATTTGCCAACAGCCTCTCCTCCTGCACTCATATGTTATCTAGCTACTAGCTGTGTGGCTTTTGTCAAAGTGCTAAACATCCTTCAGCTTGAGTTTCTTATGGGTGATGAAGATAATAATAGCCCTTCTTCATAGGATTATAGGAGCTCTGGTGGCATAGTGCCTAAGGCATTTGACTGCTAACCAGAAGGCCAGTGGTTCAAACCCACCAGCCACTACTCAGAAGGAAGACCGGGCAATCTACTTCCGTAGTGATACCACCTCAGAAACACAAGGAGGTGTCACTGTGAGTCAAACAGACTCTATGGCAGTGAGTTTGGTTTGGAATTTTCATAGAATTATAATAGGCAACAGAACTCATGCATGTAAAGGGTTTTGCAGAACACCTGGCACTTGGTAAGCATTCCATAAATGTTAACTATTAGTATTAATAATGATTATGTCATAGACCATTCATTCTTTCAGAATATCCCACATGCTGAGCACTTCTCTAGGTTCTGGGAACACAGCAAAGAACAAGTAAAGTCTGCTCCCACTGAATTGATTAAGTAACAATCACTTACTTGATCACCTATAAAATAAGTGAATACTTTGTCCTCAAAACATCTAAGAGCACAGATAGTGAAAAAAGAAAAAATTTCTTTTTAGGAATTCTACACATTCCTGGAATAGGCCTTATGTTACGTAAGTTTTCTATAAATGTTAGTTTTTATTACCATGATTAGTGTCTCATAATAACCTCATTATTTTATTTAAGATTGTCTTGTTTCCCTCGTTATGTTGTAAGTGTTTCAAGGACAGGGCCTGTAGTACATTTATTAAAATCTCTTGAAGCATGTAACTTACCCTCCTTCTTCTAAGTACTAGGAGCTTCGTTTTTTATGAATAAAGCAAGTACTTGTCAACTGGATTTTGCTGTTTTTGCCACTCCAACACACAGTCACAAACACAAACTCATAATTATGCAAAAAAAGATGTTTTCCCAAAATTTTAAGAGATTTAAATTTAAGCATGCAATTCATCAGTTGCATACTAGACATACTGTTAAATTGAGATTTAGTATATAAAATTCAACTTTTGAAAGATACTTTTTTAGCATGCATCTGTCCTATGTAACGAGCAAATCCATTTTTTCATTCTCCTGGCTTCCTTAAATCGTGGTATTATTATGACTTTAGCTCAGAATCCTTGCATCTCCCTTTAAAAATTTTTTTTATTCTCAGAAGTCCTATAAATTCACTTATTTATTAAACAATGACTTCATCATTATTTTCAACTTTTCATTGTTGTTTTTAAACTAAATACCTTTGGTCGGGGTTTCTGAAAAATAGAGTCCCACATATCAGCTTAAAATAGGATGCCGAAAATAAATACCAAAGGGAAGAAGTTATTAGGGAAGGGAGAGGGTGGGTAGCATATCAGAGCCTTGCTTTAGTGGGACAAAACAGGAATGAACCATGGACTGACCTGGTCATACACAAGATTCTTTGATGAGAAAACCGCACAGAGCAAGAAGACCATTTTCATTCACAATCATTTGAATAATATCTGTTTATTTTTTCCTTGAGACTCTATTTCAGTGGCTACTATACCTATTTTTCACTGCCCCACCTCTTAAATGACCATAAAGCCTACTCCACAAGGGTATCACGAACACCCGATGTTATAAGCTATAGCTAAGGGCATAAAGTTTAAAACAGTCCTCCCTGATAATGGCAATCTCATAGGCAGCAAGCACACAAAAACCTCGAGGCTCAAGAATGATGTTTGTGGACATCCTCAAAGTGACAATCTCCCTGACACATCCACTTGATGCAATTCTGTTATGTAAAAACTTTAAAAATAAAAATATGCTAGACTCTAAATTATGAGGTTAAATGATAATGAGGTTAAATTATGATGGTTAAATGGTAGGATGCTTGCTTTCCATGCGGGAGACCTGTGTTCAATTCCCAACCAGTGCACTTCATGTGCAACCACCACCTGAAGCCGCCAGTCGTTTCACGGGAGAAGGATGACGTAGTCAGCTTCAGCAAAGATGTATAGCCTTGGAAATCCTATGGAGCAGTTCTACTCTCCATTGGGTCACTGTGAGTCAGAATTGACGGCAATGAGTTTCAGCCACGCTTCTAAACTAAGATGGACAGGGAAGAAAGGCCAGGTAATCTTCACCTAAAAACCAGCCAGTGAAAACCCTATGGATCACAACAGTCTGATCCAGGACAGATCACAGAGATGGCCCAGGATCAGGCCGCACTGTACACAGGGTACCCATGAGTCACTGATCAACTCCATGGCAACTAACAGCAACAACACACTAAATTAAATTACCTAAATTCCTGATTTTTTAATAAGCATCAGTTAAGGCGCACAGAACACATGTGTAAATGAGTGAGGTTGGGATCATCCTCACTAATTCTGTGTGTGGTAGAGAAGGGTCTGTGCTCCTTTCTGGTACCCTGGAACCCAGCCTTTTCCTTCACTATTTGGTGATTTGGACTGGGGTGTCCAAGGCAGGCATATTGGCATAGAGCTATTTTATACAAGTTCTTAGAGATGTTGCTGTAGTATATTTCCAACTTTAAAACTAGAAGCCAGGTCAATTTTCGTTCTGGAGGTAAGTTTTATTAAAAAAACAAAAAAAAAAAAAGTGATCTCGGCTTATTTCCTGGGTACATGGCGAGCTCTCTGCTGGGTGGAGGGCTTCTGTGAAGCAGTTTTGGCACAGCACATACATCTGGCAGTCACCCAATCTCTCTTACTACCAGCTGTGCCTCTGTGGGCATATCACTTAACCACGATCAGCTTTAGCTGCCGCCTGAGTTTGAACTAGATCAGTGATTCTCAAACCTTGGTGCGACTTGGGTGTTTATTTAAAAATGGAAATTCATGAGCCCCAGGTCGAGAAGTTTTGACTTAGTAGGTCTAAGGAAGGGTTCAGAAATTTTTATCTTTAATGATCACCCCCCTGTGAACCACACTTGGAAAACACTGAACTAATTGATTTTGAAGATCTGTTCCAGTACTAATGTCCTAACAGCCTGTGAGTTTTTCCTTTTATGAGTGACTGATCTTGGGCAGCCTGGAGCTCCTTCAATGCCTGCCTGCCCTATGGTAATGATGGTACCAACCACAGAGAAGGCATGTCAGCATCTGTGCCTGGTAGCCTGGGGAAGGCCATAGAGTTGATTGGACTGCTGTTCCTTCACTGGGGGAATCATTAATATCCTTGTCTCTGATGCCCAGGTGACAGGAGGAGTCTGGAATTTCAGCCGTGTTTGCTGCGATGTATTTGTCACCCTGGATGTCATGATGTGTACAGCCAGCATCCTGAACCTCTGTGCTATCAGCATCGACAGGTAGGGCTGGGATTCCCCTTCCTGGCTTAGGAGAGAAGAAGCCCACATGGGGGAAGGAGAAAACCGGCCTAGGGAAGCTGCTCTCATTGTATTTGAGGCACAGGCTGCATTTCAGGGCACTGGGGTCATGGCTGAGGAGATCTGGTGGCAGAGTGGTTAAAGCATTTGGCTGCTAACCAAAAGATCATCGGTTCAAACCCACCAGCCCTTGGAGAAAGACAATCTGCCTCTGTAAAGATTTACAGCTTTGGAAACCCTATGTTGTTGTTATTGTTATGTGCCGTCGAGTCGGCCCCGACTCATAGCGACCCCTCCTTGGGTTTCCGAGGCAGTATCACTACGGAAGTAGGATTGCCCAACCTTCCTTCCAAGGAGTGGAAACCCTATAGTGCAGTTCAACTCTGTCCAAAATGTTAATAAGAGTTGGAATCAATGGGTTTCAGGGGTTATGGTCAAGTGGAATGTTCCACTGCTTTCCTTGTGAGACATTTTCTTTCCTCTTTTTCTTCTAAACTATGGTTTGTGGATGAGAATAAATGCCTGTGATCACAGAGAAATGATTATCTTATAAACCTTCCTAGCCTTTCCTCTGCTTTGCTCCCTAAAATGGATTCTGATTTTGCTTTTCCACCCTTCTTTGGGGCTTTTGTGATTTCTAATTGGGAGGAAAGGAGGAGTAGGAGGGGGAGAAAGACAAAACATAAGCAGACATAGGTTGGGTAGAAATTTTCCAGTTGTTCTTGTGGTTTTCTTCTTTGGAGGGAAGGGAAGAGAAGCAAGGGAGGATTTGCAAAGAGGGAGAAGGCAGAAAAGTGAATCGGGGAGACAGGCCATTTCAGAAAGTATGACTGTGACCTATGTATTTTCCCCAGAGTTTAGGAAAGCAAGTAAGGAATGACATAGTTTTAAATTCCTTTTTGGTTCCTGGAGTGGATTTCTTTGATTTTGACCCTGCTCCATCCACCTGTAATACGAGAATTCACTGCTCTCACGCTAGCCTCTCTTGCTGATCAGGAGCCTCTAACCTTTCCTTCTCTAAGTCTTCTCCTACCTTTCTCCTCTCCTGTCTCATCTCTTTCTACACTCTTTCTCCCAGTGATAGCATCTGCCCACTCCACAGCTCCAACCCCAAACCAAACCAAACCCTTTGCCGTGGAGTAGATTCTGACTCAGAGAAACCCTGTAGGACAAAGTAGAACTGTGTGTCCCGAAGGGTTTCCAAAGCTGTACATCTTCATGGAAGTAGACATCTTTTTCCTACAGAGCAACTGGTGGGTTTAAACTACTGACCTTGACCTTTGGCTTAGCAGCCTAGCTCTTAACCATTGTCCTACCAGGGCTCCTACAGCCCCAATGATGACTTTAAATAAGATCTTCTATTTATTGAGAACTTACAACATTCCAGGCATTTAAAGCTTTGACATATATCCATTTGTTTAATCTTCAAAATAATTCTTACCATCTTTATTAAGACAATATTACTTATAATAACTATTGTTATATTTATTTCTAGTTTCTCAGAAAAATTAAGGAATTTGCACAAAGTCACACAGCTAATAAGAGGCAGAGCCAGGATTTGAACCCATGTCTATCTGACTCCAAGTTAATACTCTTAAGTTTTGGGCTAAGAGTCCCCACATCTCTAGCCACAATCCTAACTTCTGCCCTGACTTTGCTACTACATTACTACTTAGATATCCCCTTGGTCCCTACAACTCAAAATGTTCAAAAGCAAATATTGCAAGGCTTTTCTCTTGACTTGATGATCTCTTATTGGCACCGCCATTCTTTTGGAATCCTGGATTTTGTTTGACTCCTCTGTCTTCCTCATCTCCTGTATCCAAGCAGTCTATGCTTATAGATAGCACTTTCGCAAGTTTTTTCCAAACTGTCCCTGCTTTTCCCTTCTTGCTGCCCCTGCTTATCTTAGGCTCACATGACCTCTCACCTGGACTTCTGCCACAGCTTCCTAACTGGTCCTTCATATCACTCTCAAAGTTCCGATGTCCATTGTCCACTCAAAACCCTTCAGTGTCTCCTTAGGAATAAAATTTAAAGTTACCTCCACAGCCTGGTATTCAAAGTTTTTCACAATATGGCCTCAATCAATCTCATTTCTTTCTAGATTGTCCTGTAATCTTCTTGTGTTCAAAGGTCTACTACAACTGGTCCTCTTCTATGGGGCCCTTCCAGAAACTCCAACTTGATTCAGTTTCCTCTAAACTCTCCTAATACTTTCCCTGTGACTATGCCTTGGCCTCTCCAACCTGCCTTTTACTCAAAACCCTAGTGCAGGCTCCCGTGTTTGCCATCACATGGTCCAGTGTTGTGCATTAATACCCCTAAACTTCCTTTCATATGCTAAACTGGGAATTTTGAGCAAGAATCAATGATGGAGCAATGGGTAAGTGCTTGGTTGCTAATCTAAAGGTTAGCAGTTCTAACCCACCCAGCAGCTCTATGGGAAAAAGACCTGGTGATCTTCTCTTGTAAGGATTAAAACAAAAAACTCCAAACTCACTGCCATCGAGTCAGTCCCAACTCATAGTGACTCTTCCTTGGGTTTCCAAGGCAGTATCACTACGGAAGTAGACTGCCCAACCTTCTTTCTGAGGAATGGCTGCACTACACCACCACAATCTAGAAAACACTTTTGGACAGCACTACTCTGTCACTATTAGTCAGAATCAGCTTGATAGCCCTTAACAACAACAATGACAACAACCAAACAATGGCCACAATCTTATGGTGATACTACAAACCAGCCAGCCAACTGGAAGGTATTTTGTCTTATATCCCTTAATTGGCTATTCGACTAAGAAAGAAAATTAAAGAATATGTCCATAATACTGAAAATAATACCATTAAGGAGTGTGTTTAAAAACAAAGGGATATGGTTGTGTAACTCTGTAAATACCTAAATTGTTTCGTTCTGCTGTGCATGGGGTCGCTATGAGTCAGAGACAACTCAACGGCACCTAACAACAACAACATAGGCATTTACTAACCTTATATATAGGAGCTCTGGTAGTGTAGTGCCTAAGGCACTTGACTGCTAACCAGAAGGCTGGCGGTTCAAACCCACCAGCCACTCCTCGGAAGGAAGATGAGGCAATCTACTTCCGTAGCAATGCTGCCTTGGAAACCCAAGGAGGGGGTCTCTATGAGTCGGGGCCGACTCGACGGCACATAACAACAACAACAACAACCTTATATATAGGCATGGGAGCTTTGGTGGTGTAGTGCCTAAGGCATTTGACTGCTAACCAGAAGGCTGGCAGTTCAAACCCACCAGCCACTCCTCAGAAGGAAGATTGGGCAATCTACTTCTGTAGTGACACCCCCTCGGAAACCCAAGGAGGGTTTGCTATGAGTTGAATCAGGCTCCACAGCAGTGAGTGAGTGATATATGGGCATAGGTATATTTTCTTTTTCCTAGACATATCTGATCATTCAGCTTATTTACCTATGTATCTACCCGTAGACTAATGTTTGTTATTACTGGTAACAATATTGATACAATATTGTGTATATAAAAATCTTTGCTGTCTACACCTCTCATGCACCTCTCTGTGTCTTCCTTTTCCTTCATGTTACTGTATTGGTCACTCGCTTTTGGTATATTGCCCTCCCTTCACCCAAATTGAGGAACTCTGGTGGCATAGTGCCTAAGGCATTTGACTGCTAACCAGAAGGCTGGTGGTTCAAACCCACCAGCCACTCCTTGGAAGGAAGGTTGGGCAATCTACTTCCATAGTGATATTACTGACTCGGAAACCCAAGGAGGGGTTGCTATGAGTTGGATCCAACTCCACAGCAGTGCGTTTGTTGTTTTGTTTCACCCAAATCAGTACTTGTCTCTTACCTATCTAGTAATTTTCCATCCCTTCCTCTTCCTTCCCATCCCTGGTAACCAACAAAGTAAGTTTTCTTCCATAGGTAAACCTTCCCTTGACTTTTTATGGTAGTGGACGAACACATTGTTTGTCCTTCTGTGATCGACTTATTTCACTCAGCATAATGTCCTCCAGGTTCATCCACATTATGCGGTGTTTCACAGATTCTACTTTATTCTTTAGTGTTGTATAATATTCCATTGTGTGTATGTACCATAGTTTGGTTATTCATTCCTCCACTGATGAGCACTCAGGTTTTTCCATATCTTTGCTATTGTGAATAGTGTTGCAATGAACATGGGTGTGCATGTATCTATTCATGTCATGCTCTCACTGCTTTAGGAGCTAGTAATGGGATTGCTTGATCAAATGTTATTTCTATTTCCACTTTTTTAAGGAATCTCCATACTGATTTCCACAGTGGTTGTATCATTTTACAGTCCCACCAACAGTGTATGAGAGTCCCAATCTTTCCACATCATCACCAGCATTTGTTATGTTCTGTCTTGTTGAACTTTGCTTAGGGCTGGTGTGAATTGGTATCTCATTGTTGCTTTGATTTGCATCTCTCTAATGGCAAATGATTGCGAACATTTCTTCATGTGTTTGTTGGCCACCTGAATATCTTCTTTGGTCAAATTAGACCCAGCTTCTTATCACCTGTCAATCTCCCTGCTGTGTCTATTACAGAGACTTGAACAAAGAATATTAAACTGAGTTCTGTGAATACTGCCTGTGGTCAGCCAATGTTCATATATCTTCAGGAAGGACATGAGAGATGGGGAGAAAATTAGCCTTGAGAGGTAGGAGAAAAGAGTAGTATTATACAGAGCTTCTAGGAGAGGCACTGGGGGAGGCCCCTGCCAGCTCTCTTCCTCACAGTGCTTGCACACTTCACCCACACATATTCACATACACAGGGGTATGATGGCTGAAGCTGTGCACATTATGCCTTGCTCAAGGCTGAGAGAACCAAAATTCAGCAGTGCTTCATTTTTCAATTCTAGAATCAGCCTAGAGAGGATAGTCTTTTGCAAATCATCACCAAGGAGGGGGGCACTTTTTCTAAATTATGCAAGAACACCATTTTGCTGGCAACAGTCA